AGTAATTGCTCAGGGCCATTGCAATTGAAACAATAAATATCAAATTTACAAAGAGATGAGCTTTAACACTGAAACAAGATCAGAACAAACAAATATCACATCAGCTTATTAAGGAATAATCCTTACACTAACCAAATATAAAATGTTCACTCTTTTCAAAACTAATTCTATTATAAAACACAATCTTGCATTAAGAAAACACTTAATAAAAAATACATAATTGTCATATTAGTTTTTATTTGGTTATATTTCACACCAAGTGGTAATGGTACTTTGAGATCATGTAAAAAATCACAAGTTTAGAAGAGCTCTGTTTTATAGCTCATCATTCAGGCTTAACACTCTCACTATAGATCTTTCTATGGTCAAAGGGCATGTCATCACGTTTGTAGACTTACATTCAAAAGTTTATTGATCTACTATTTTATTAAAATATGCCAATAAGTTTGTTATCACATTGTATATCATAATTCAAATTTCAGTATTATACATTAGTTAATTTCTTAATTTAAAATTAAATATTAAAACAAGTTTCCTAAATATCAATTTTTGTGTGTGACATGGTATGTTGAATAAAGCTTTGGTTCAAATTAGATATTTATGATGTCCAAATACAAAGTCTATAGTTTCTTATGAATTAGAAACTCAAATTACAGATATTGACAAACTAGAATATAAAATAAGTACCTTCTATCTTTTTGATTTGCTGAGATATTGCTACATTTAGTGAATCAAACACAGTAGCTCTGCCCAACTCTTTCATTTTTTGAAATACTTGCTTATGTACATCTACATCTGACTATGACATGTGAATAACCAATCTAAAGCTCAGATTGTCCCCCTAGTGATTTTCTCAGTCTCTAGAAGGTAGGAAGTTTCCAAGATTATTTCTTTGTCTTGAATCACAGAAGGAAGTGGTAAGTGAAAATGTTGTTCGAAAAACAATATCTTTTTTTACTTAAATACAGTTTAGTAAGCCTGATAAATTTGACAGAGTAATTTATAATACTTTATTATTTCAAAATGCATATATAAAACCTAAAAAAATTACTTTGTTTTACATTCTCCATGAGCAAAATTTGACAAGGCTTATCAAATTATGGCAAGCTGGCAAATTAGTACAAAGTTTGTAAATAGAAAAAAAATCAGTTTTCTAAATCTCCTTGTTTACTGTTTGATGTTTTAAGAAAAATAAATGAAATTTTTGAATGTATCTGTAAATAGTAATAATATATAATAAATACATCTGTAATGTATTATAACCAAAATATGATTGTATTTTACAAAATACCGGTCCACTAGAACAAAGCCCAAGACAGGTCTCTTTGTAAAGGCCAATTTTATACTATTAGATACAGTAACATGAGTGCACGTGTGCAATAAATTGCAACTTCTGTAATGTTACTCAGACACAGCTGAAAGGTCAATAAAATAAAAATAATCAATATATATAGATGTGTAATGTTAGGATATTTAATTTATTTAGAGTACACATTAGTGATTTCTTGTTATAATTTGTAGTCATCCTAGAATGAAAAAAGTGTAATTTATATCTATTTCCTAATTTATATGGTGGTTATGAGGTCAGTCAAATCGACCAAACCCAATAGTGAAAATAACATATAAAGTTTGTTCTATAAGAAAACGTTTGATGATTATCTGGAGGTTATTAGGAGGTTATAAAGATTTTGTATGTGAAATTTGACAATTTTCTGATGCATAAAGTATGTTTAATTTTAAAATAAAAATTACTTTGCATGTTGGATAGTCACCATTCGAAAAGAAAAAATGCATGAGCAAATCATTACTTAAAAAATCTTAAAACTTGATAAAAAAATCTGATATTTCGTGTACTAAAGTCTTGTAATATTTACTGATAATCAGCAAAATTTCGTGAAGATATGCATACTGTATTACAAGTTATAGTATGAAAACTATAACAAGTACAAAATGGTTACAAGTTCGATCTCTGGGACTGATCCCGTAGTGAGAGAGTTAATGGGTAAAGAAGTTAAGGAAAAAAACATACTAGACTTGAGTGGTTATACAAACATAAAACAAATGTTTTCTCCTAAAACTTTGTGGAAAATGATAATGTTTCCTTTTGTTTTTCTTTTCAAGATTTTAAGTTGTGATAAAGATTGTAGAATTCCTAAATTGTATGAGAAGCTGTCTGTATTACAGTGAAGCAAAGAGGTAAAAGTAAATATTTGTGAACTGTGAAACTTAATGATATTTCTCTGCCTGTTATAATTTCTGAGTATTAAATAGAGTAATCCTAGTGCATAGATAAACTGTAAACTCCAGTAAAATCTAGATCACATGAACAGGCTAGTTTTTAAATTATGTTAGATTATTGGTTAATATTATTTGAAATTTACTTGTAATTTGTAAAACATTATACTTATGGATTTTATGATTCTGCACTTTCTAATTAATAGTGAATTGCAAGACTTTACAGACAGTCAGGACACAAGGTATGTTTATGTTTTTTAATTCAACCATTGACTTATATAACTTAACCACTTGAAATTACTTGTGATTTATAAGTAAGATATTTGCAATTTTTAATCCTTGACATGTGTGTACTATTATATAATAACTTCTACCTGAAGATCTGTGAAAATTCTATAATAATGGTTACAATTGATAATAAATAGTCTTAATTATGAGTAACAGACAAAGTACAAAACTTCTATGACCACCCTGTCCTAAGTGATCAAATGGGTACCCTTGCTGCTAGTGGTGTTTTCGGCTTTTAACCCAAGAACACTTGATGAGGATGGGCCTGCTTAACAAAATTACCAAACACTGAAGCAGAATTGTCACATGTAAAACTTCATATATCATGCCTGTCACATTTGGCCAATGTAGTTACAGGTACACCACCGATTTTCTGGCACCCTTGGTTCCAGAGCTTTGCCAGATTATCCGTTTTGCTGGACCAACAGAGGTCACGTAATAATAATTCAACAATACACCTCTGGCCCACTAATTATACCCCTCCTGTGTCTCTAAAGCACCATGGACTGCTAGAAATTTAAATAAAACAAATATTAAATATGAATTAAATGATTAGTGAAATACATTAGTACAAGTATAAATGGTACAGGTTTATTAGTACAGTATAAATGAAAATTTTTTATTAATTACTGTACTTACAAAGAATGTTGCAGTAATACCGCTTCCAAAGTGGCAAATTTTAGAATTTTACTGGAATTGTAGAGCTAATCACAAAGGTCTGGAAGTTGAGGGCTGTCAGGATTACTGTCTGTTTCATAGTTGACTGTTTCATCATGGATTTGTGATGTTGCAGGGGGAACACCCAGGGTACTTGAAGTTGAAGCCACAGAATTATTGTATGTAGGACTACTGCTCAGACACACACATTCTTCTTGACTATGTTTTTAAACATTTCATCCAAGCGAAGTTGTTTTATGTGCTTTGATCCTTCCCTGTGTAACTTTTCATACAGCAAATGAAGAGTCATTAGCTCTTGTTCTGTTGTAATTTTGTCCGGATTAAAGGAGGTGCCGGACCATCAGTTGCCAGAAAATCGGTGGTGTACTATATTACTATTTATGAAATGTAATGTTACATGTTAAATCTAGTTAATACTATAAATAACTAAAATATATACTGAATTATTTAAATTTAATACTTTAACTTACAGAAACATATTTAGTATGGGGAAAATTACAGCTGGGCATCCACAGAACAATAGCATAGTCTGTATAAATATATGACCATTAGTGTATCTGGTCTAGTTCTTCCCATCTCAATCAACCATAGTGTTCAAGAGTAACCTTGCTAAAGAAAGTTTGCCCAACAGCCAGACTTGAAAAGTCTTGTAAAGGCTTGTAAAGTAAACAAACCAAAGGTTATCAGGTCTTAAAAGTAGAAGGATAATTTAAGTAAAGTTAGCATAGAATTTTAGGAAAGTCAGAGATAAACATTGTGTTGGAGTATATAAGGTCAGGATAAAGAAAGTTATTTATATCCTATATCAATGTGTTAATTTTGGTGGATCTGAATAAAATTATAAGTGGGAAAGATTAAGTGCTTCAGTATGTGTGGGATGAATCAAGTTATATATATTCTTTATTGACCATACTAATTATGCAACTTATACTGAGCCAATGACAGCATTGTGGAAAACAACTGACTTAGTTTAACTTCTGTTAGAGTTGAACAAAATGATACCTTTAAAAGGTAGAATACTTAGGTTTGTGTTAGATTATATAAGGCAAGGATAAAGAAAGTTATGCATAATCTCTGGTTTTATGTTAATACTAGCTGAGTTACCTGGCATTGCACGGTGAAAATTTAGATTTGAAATATATAGATCAGTATTTTTTTCAGCAAATTATTCAGTAAGTAGACAAAAGCTGTGATGCAAGAAATAAAAAAGCATTTAATCAAACAAAGCTTTATTTGAAATTAGA